GAATGAATAATTAACCCTAATAACTGGGTAATGTGCACACGCACACCTTGGCATCCCGTCAGGGTTCTGGTGTCTACTGGACTTTGTGAGCCTCATAGCTCAGCTATTCTAGTGCAGTAGCCTTCAGATTCTCACTGGGAGAAACCATCTGAGATCTTAAGGAAACCCCATAGGAACAGGACTCACTGGCTGCTTTTCCCAGCCTCCTTATGAACTGGCTGGTGAGCTGACCTCTGACCCTCAGCCTTTCGGACTCAAAACCTTCATTCAGTCAAGACTGAAAGGACAGTTCTTTCTCACAGGGTCTGATGTACATGAACCAACTTTACAATCCCTTCCATAAAACCAGAGCATCAAGTTATTCAAACATGACCCCTATTCTGTAGTCTCTTATCTGAAGCTCATGGGACCAGATATTTGGAATGCAATATTTTTAGAGTTTTTTAAATGGCAATACAATGGATATACATTATATTACGATAACACCCACAGTAGAATATCAGACAGCCCTGGTTAATCATTTTAATATTCCTTCAGCAAACAAATCATGACTCTCACCAGCTGGGATAAAAGAAGACTATAAATAATAACCTCATGTTCATTTCAGGACGGTTCTACTACCAAATTAATTGAGGTCACATTACACTGTATGACAGGTATAGTTTGAAAAACATCTGTTTTCATATATTTTCTTACCTTGAGGACTGGATAAGAGATTAGAACTTACACTAAACTGAATGAAGATGCAAGAGTAGTGGTCGTGAACCAAAATCTGGAAGCTGGAACTGTGGGTTCAAATTTCAGTTTTATTCTCAGCTGACTGAGACGGCCTTTGGCAGGTCACTTATCCTCTCGTGTGTGTGTGTGTGTATGTGTGTGTGTGTGTGTGTGTGTGTGTGTGTGCACTCCCTGTCCGTAAAGCCTCCCTGATGACCGACTTCATATTGTTGCCATACAACTAATTGAGTTAATTAATGTAAGGCATTTAGATAGTCCCAGGGCCATAGTAAGCACACAGTGAAGTGACCATCCTGTGTTTACTAAAAACTAGCACTTAATCAGCACATTCTCCCCTTGAAGGTAGCTATTTGGGGTAGTAAATTTGACCAAATGCTTTTTTCTCTAGGTACACAATGAAATAACCATTATAGTATGTAGAATATTTATCCTTATGACCGGTGCTTTCTCTTTCCTGTAATTAAGTCCATGTGAGGGGCAGATAGTAATCAGAAGCTTGCTTGGTGAGCATGAAACCAGGAAATTTAAATGGATTTCATGTTAATAGCGTCAGCCTGAAACATCCTGACATGTCCGTCCTCCCACAGGGTTGCCCTTCTTAAGGCTACCAGAGGACTGACGGTCTAGAGCTTAGCAGATTAGCACTCCCTCTTCCTACACCACGTGGCGACAGTGTGGCTCAGGGTGCTCCTTTCTCTAGGCTTCCACCTTCTGATTAGCCCATTTGTCCATTTTTCAGATGTGTTAATGTCACCTCTGTCAAGTCTGCCATGCACACTCAGGTGCCAGAACCCTTCTAAGGACGGAAGCTTGCATCAGCTTGCTCTGTTTTGATCATTTAGATGCTGATTTCATGGCATTATCTTGAGAAGACCACCTTCTTTCTTTCTCTTTCGAGTCCCTTATATCCAGTTCAGATCACTTCCTTTCAATAGCAGTTTGGCCCAGGAACTGGGGCTGGAAGAATACCGGAGGTACAGTAATTCTTTTGACATATAAATGAGTCTGCAGAATGTTTTCTTACTCGTTACCTGCTCCTTCTGCAGCTGGTCTTTTTGGACGTGGAGCTCCCAATGTCTGGCCAAAGCACAAGAAGACCTAGGTACCTACTTGACAGGTATTTCAAGCCATCTCTCACACAGGGAAGCGTAATGAATCCTTAGTCTTTCTGATTCTCTCTTGATGAAAAGCCTCTGAACCTTCCATTGATTCTCGAAAGGAATGACAGCTTTTAGCACTGCTTTTGTAAAAGCAGAGTATTTATTTTTGATAGCTCATGTTGACTTCTCTAAGCTTAATGACATACCCTTTAGCTATTTGTTTAATGGGAGAAGGGGCAGTAAAATAAAATTTCCAGAAAAAGAAGGTATCCCATTATCACATTATATAATTCTACTAGGCTCTCATCTCTCTAACTGAACCAGAATTCTTTACAATGTGGGTGTAGGAAAAGTGGTTTAAAGAGGGAATAGCTACAAATGCCTACCAGGTGAGTGCCTCCCTGCTTTTGTTTTTTTTTGTTTGTTTGGTTTTTTTCCAGTACAGAGAATCGAACTCATGACATCACACTTGCCAGGCAGGCACTGTGCTTCTGAGCTAAATCCCCAGCCCCCCTCCCTGCTTTTGTGTTCTTTTGCCCCTCACTGCATCACGGCCCTTTGGGTTACTTAACAGGTATGCCTTTCTCCCTGGAAGTGGTGTTTCTATTCTAGAAAAAATGTTAGTGCTAAAATAACTTGCTGTGCACTGCAGAACCCTCCGTTAAGGCTCATGCACACCTGTGCTGTCTGTCCTCATGCAAGTCTCACAGAGCCGCAGACAGGAACTAGGAATTACGTTCTCTAACGCTGGATATGCACACGTCAACTCGGACCAAGCCCTTGCTCCTCTTTATGCCTCTTCTGTAAAATGAAAGGACTAAGACGCTTTGTGAAGTCTCTTTCAACCCACCAATTCTGTCATCCTTTGAGAATTAGCTTACCTACCTTCCTTCCCTTCCATCTTTCGTCTACCTATCATCTACTTATCTTCCTCAAGTACATTTCAAGTTGTTTCAGAGATGAGTTTAAGCCAGTGAATCCTAAACTTCAGGTCTGTCCCTGGAATCCTTCTAAATTAAAATGTGCTATTTCCTACCTAATTTTATATTTTAATATTACATTCTTTTTCTTAAAGACAGCTTTCAAATCTGTATGCCTTTAAGGCCCTATGAATCTGTATTGGCTTCTTGATGGTTTAGGAAAAAAAGGCAAAAAGAAATGAGTAGCAAAATGGGGATTAAAGCTGGGTATGGTGACACACACGTATAATCCCAACACTCAGGAGGCTGAGACAAGAGGATCTCCATGAGTTTACTGAGACTACATACTGAGTTCAAGGCCAGCCAGGACTACGTAGTGAGACAGGGTCCAAAGAAATAAAACAAAGCAGGAAGGATTAAAGAGGAAGACCTAAAAGATGACTAGGAATAAAATTGCATTATATTGCATGCTAGGTGGTTTGCCTAGTTGAACAGCAAGTAGAGCTTGAACTTCTGCGTTCTGGAAGACAAAGCAGTGAAGGGAGTCAGGGCACTGCATAGCTCTTGCTGTCAGAGCAATACCTTGCATCCAAATCAAACAAAATATTCTACAGTCCTGAATTCAGTCTCAGTGGAACATGGTACAGGGAGCTAAACCACACTATGATCAAAAGTGGTGTTTTTGCAAAAGCAGAAACCTTCATGGAATCAAATGATCAATTTAGTAAAAGCCTTCTGCATACGGACTTGTCCCGTGCAGATATGAGCGATGTAGACACGGGTCTTGTCCTCTCAGCGCTTTCAGGCAAACACGGGACGATATAATAAGTTGATGCATGGATCATGGGACCTGCGCCAAGAGCTGCGAGATTAAAAAAGACAGGGCAGTGAACTCACATCAGGGACATGGAGAAGAAAGGAAGAAATAACTTCCGAGTTCTGTTGTAGAGGTAGGGAGTGTTTGAAAACCGCCGACATGAGTCTAGACAATTCTCCTGAGCACGGTCTGACTCGATCCACCGCTGATGGTCACCATCCTTCTCCTGAAATGGAATCACATTCATTGGCTCATCCCACACCGATGCTAAAGACCCCCTGCATGTCATGAAATGAATTGCTGCAATTCATTTCTAGGCATTTTTGCCTATTTCCTTAAGGGTTTGAAGGATGCCTCTTGCCTTACTTATAGCCTTTTAATGGATCTGATGGGTTCACTAAATTCTTTAGTTGTCTGCAGAGAGCCAGAAGCAAGGTATTTGGACATAAAGATAAGAACCATTAGGGGAAAACTACCGTCTGAAAATACGCTATGTACATCCCTTGGCATTCAGATATTTCCAACTTCAAAACTCTATTCAAATGAACAGTTTAAAAATCTTTTCTAAGCAATTCTCATTTAACAGCAGTGGAACAGAAAAGTGACTCATCTGGCAGAACCTCAAAAAATCGTAAGCCACAAAATGAGGAAGAACCTGAATTTTAAGCACCCAGTGTTAGGTAATAACATCTTCATAAGGAAAATAGGATCTCAGAATAGCCGCGGTTTGGCACAGTGTGTACACTTGAAATGAACATGACTCTCTTGCACTGGTGCACCCAAAGGGATGGGAATATTTCTACATCTTTCTAAAGTGCTCAACTGTAGCTGCACCAGACAGCCTTGCAAATTACCATTGTGTCTAGCCAAAAAACCCTGAGAACTTTGCCATGCGTTATGCAAGGCCCTCTGACTCCAGAAAAGTTTGAAAACACGTGAAAATTCTCTTCCTGCCATGTTAACTTCCATTGTCTTTGACCGGTTAAAACAGGCAAGCAGTTCCTTGCAATGAACAGGATTGTCAGTCATGAGGAAATTTGGAGCTTCTGCAACTGATACTAAAATTGTGATACGGCTGTGGTACCTTTTAGCTCACTCAACAGGGAATTTGCAAAGGAAAAAAAGACTCAGTATAAACTTAATGTTACTCTGCTGCTGAGGCAAAGATAGTCTACTGAGGTGTCAGGTCAGGAATCTAGCCATTTTTTTGTGGAAACAGTGTTTAGCTTGGAATTCAATTTATAGGATAGACTTGCAATGTGGAAGTGGAAATTGAGTTTCCAGTTTGGGTGGATTAAAATCAGTAATTAACTTAAAACATTATAACCTCTGAGCATCTAAAATCAAGAGATTTTTAATGTGTGTAATAATTGAAAATAAGATTCCGTTCCTTCTGGGTTTAAAAAAAAATCACAGTAAACTTTTATTCTTCTTGTCTCTCCATTCAGACATAGGAAAACAGCTTTTAGTTTAAATTAATACAATTCTAGAAATCTCTGGGCAAGGTACAATGAATAGTTAAAGTAATCAGAGGGCAGTTGTTCAGACATAAATACTAAAATTGAAGTTCAATAATTCTTACAGTCACCACCTGTTAGCACACTTCAATGATGTGGAGAACAAAGTTGAGCAATTCATTCACAGCTATCACTTATTGGCTAAATACGATGTGTCAGACATGTTTATAGATCATCTTACTCAATCCTCCCAGCCGCCCTATGCACTAGACATTGTTGTCCTTTCAGATGAAGAAACAGGCTTAGGGAAGCTAAGAACTTGCCTAAAATCCCAACTAGTCAGTAGCACCGTCAATCAATCTTGCTCTCTCTCTCTCATTTGATTTCCATCTCATACTCTCATACCACCTCCCAAATTTAGTGGTGAGGATATACATTTCTGATTTTTAATTAGGAATATCTATTACAGTGCTGACTTGCCTGTAACAATAGTAGTAATCACTGCAAGGATGATCTGTGAAGCAATTGGCTCAGTGAAGCAATGATCTGAGTACTTTCCATCTACCAAGTTCTGCAATCTCCTCAAGAACCCAAAGAAATAAGAAAACCAGAGTAATTGAAAGCATGAACAACTTGCCCCAAAGTCACACAGTTGGTGAGGATTTAGGAGTGAGACCTACTCTTCACATTCACGCTGGCTAGCTCCTGAGCCGCCATTATTGAACATAGCACTGTATTGCTTCTCCAGGAGTTTTAATCTGGATGCAGACTAAATTCATTTCCACATTCATACTAAATTGGGCCACATTCTAAAATGGCTCCACTACCTTAGCACAACTTGTGAGTTAAAGCGAAAGCTGAAAAATCAATGAAGTCCATGATCAATATGAAGAATCTAACGTATTCGTGAATTATTCTGCTCAGTTAAGCTTCTATTACAGGGTTTAATCCACATATCTGACAAGTAAAAGAGAAATAAAAATGATGGTTATGTGAAATTAATCAAATAAAGTGCCAAATGATTTTCAGCATCTCACATATGCATCTCATAACACGTTTAAAAAGATCTATTGCTCTATTGCATATATGGATATATTTGCAAAGGTATACGGAGTATATATAAGTCAATACACAGTGCTTATATCTCAATATCATTTTGAACCACATTACAAATGTTCATTAACCTTATGAGCAGACACAAAATATTTGATGTCACAAGGCTTTCTTGTACCAATTGGTGAAGCTGAATATTAGAGTTTAGAATTAGCTTCTAAACTCTGATGAACCCAGGCATTCAAGAATAAAAGCAAAATGATTTCAGTGGTTTCATATACAACATATATAATGCATATATATATATATATATATATATTTGTTCTAATTTCTTAATGTCCTGAATGCTAACAAGTGTCAAGTTTCTGAATTTTTTTAAAGTAAAAGATGTCATATGCTAAACACAAAAAAAACTAACAGCTTTTCTTTATTGTTTTCTTTCTCTACAGGTATTCCCAGTATTTCCAGCATTGGTAGTAAGTAAAAACAAAAAATTCACCAAACCAAGTCTAGGCTAGCTTTGTGTTTCTTGTTCAGCTCCTCAGATCTATTTTTCCAGTGTCCATTTCTGATGTAATAGAACGTTTTCTTTGCAAATTGCATGTTTCCTATTGGTTTTCTGCATACATATGCATATGGTGAAAGTATGGACAGAATAGTTATTTATGCAAAATTCTTCTGTGGACATGGCAATGCCACAACTTTCCTGATTCTTTTCTATCAGTGAAGGCCATTCTGCCTTACTTAACAAAACTGTAAATGATCCTATTCATGCATGCTACATAACCTACAAAGAAATCCAACTCTTTCTCCAGGGCTGGATGTGGATTTCTCATATAATTGGAGAAATCCGAGAACAAATGTCAATGAATGTCTTAGGAAATTCATTGGAACCCAAGGAAAAGGGCATAAAACCAGGGAGAGAGAATTTTTGTTAGTAAATTAAATTTAGGATTTGTGAAGGCCTGAAAGAGGGAGGTTTATGATCATTTGTCTTTTGAGAGGAATGACAGGAGAAGATATCCAGTATGCCCATTTCTTCCTAAAACACAGTGATCCATGTGTTCCTGTGTATTTAGGCTTAAATTTGTTACAAAATGGGTATACAAATGCATGGGGAACTTAGGGGTCAGAGGATGAGAACTTCTGTATAAAATTCTGTATAAAATCAGTTAATAGAAATCTAGGCAATTGAAAAGGTATCTGTCCTCACGTCTCTGTTAATGCTTCTCCGATATCATTGCAAAGAGCAAAGAACATTCTCCAGCTTCTGTGGGAGACCCAGACCACAGCTCCACCTTCCCGCATAAACCAATGACACTACAACACCAAACTTGAAGGCTCATAATAAACATGCTCAGTAACTTTTCAGAGCAGAAGTTTACATATTACCTCCTTTATCCCATATGGCTAAAACCTTAGAACAACAGCTAAATAAACAATTAGAAATATATTCCCAAGAAAGCTCCTATGATACACTTAAGTGAATTGTCATTGTGGTGTCACCCATGAGGGTCTTACGTCCTGAGCACTGTTCCAGGTAGAATGATCTCAGTGTAAATAACGGCACTTGAAGCACCGACAAATGTAAGATCCAGTGCAAAGCAATATTCTGATAATTTGGATAAAACAACTCCCTGCTTCTTATAAATGCGCAGTCAGGTCTTTCAATTTATTAATCAACCCCAGTCTACTTAAGCTTGCCCAGACACTGATTTCTTCAGCACCAGACCAGTTAAATGCCATGAAAACCAGCTGGTTTTGTAAATAGAAGCAGTTTTCACAATCATTTAGATACCAGCCTAGTCCTACAGCATTTGCTTTGTGCTCTTACTGAAATGATATCTGTGCTACAAACTTACAAATGAAAAACTTCAGATTCAGCAGTCTAAATTTTTCTGCCGCAGTGCCTCCCACGGCATTTGTTGAACTGTCCAGGTAGCCCGCCATGTGCTCCTTTCAGGCCTTGACAACTGCCTTTGTGCACATATTTTAGAGCAGAAGGGAACCAAACAGAATCAGGCTGAGACAGATAACTGAGGCTTCTGTGGTGATCTGTTCTGTCAAAAATGTCAGAAATGGATGGATGGAAAAGTCATTCTCTGGTGCTGGGGTGTGTTTCTGTTCTGAGTGCCCGTTGTGTGTTGCATGGACTCTCTGACTATACTGCTCACCCCCCATCTCATCCGGCCGCCTCCACCACATCCCCATCTCTGAGCATCAGCAGATGTTGACCTTTTACACAATGAAATGGAAAACTCCAGTTTTGTTTTGCTTTGTTTTCTTTTGAAATCAGTGGTGACCTGAAAGGATGCTTTGTTGTGCCTTTGGAAAATGAATTCATCTTTATTATCAGGAACCTAGGAAAACTGAACTCCTGATACCTGTGGAAAAAGCCCTCAGACAAAAAGTGACAGTTTGTACTCTGCCTTCAGTATACCTCTGGCTGTTCCGCTTGGAGTGCAGTGGGGGTTTTCTCTGGTTTCCAGCAAGCAGGTTGTACAAGCTTCCAGGGGTCACCCACCGGTGGTCACACACGACTAGCTTGCTTGTTGCCTGGCTTTTAAGGTAAAGCGATTTCCAACAAAGCCATCAAACATGATTGTATCTTCTAGGCTGCTGTAATGGCATTCGGACTTCCTTCTTTGTGGGCTTATAAGGTGCTTGTTGTATGCACTCATGAATTCCTTTCCTCTCTAAAGGGCAAGAATTCACACATAGGTGTTCAGAACCTGTTCTAGAGGGCACACGAAGGGGGTTGTCAAGGTGCAAGTCAGAGAAGGGGAAGATGCCTCTTAACTAAGTTTGGGTGTTTTTGGAACTTTCCCCTTTATCCCAAATAAGGAATCAATGAGTATAATTCCACCAGCTATGTTGAAAGATACCATTATGACAAGAGTAACACCCATGAAACTCTAATCATCCAAGTGTGCCTGAAGGAAAAGAAATGATGTATCTTATCAATGCAAATCGTTGATGTGTGCTACCACAATTTGCATAAATATACTTTATATACAATAACTAAAGCTTTTGGAGCCCTAATAGATTTCAGCATAGATGTTCAATTAATTATCAGCACTTATTAAGATTCAAATGCATGGACAGAATTGTCATCCTTTCCGATCATCTGCTAAAAATATTTTTGAAACAAATTTCCCATTAAGATCATCTGTACTTGCTGTTGTCTATCTACTAAGAAATAGGTTTCCCAAACATCCCAAGGGTATTTAATTTAGAAGAGTCCTTCTGATATGTTTTGACCACAGCTGAAAAAATGCTGGTGATACTGTCAGCAATTAATGAATCCCAAAATAGATCTGTAGCCATTTGAGCCTTATGATCTGTTTTTACCTTACCTGATGTAGTAGCAATTCATTCACATTTCACTTTTTAATAAAGTGTACTTACAAGTTAATACTCACAATTTTATTGAAGTGAACATTTGTTGAGGCTGATGATCCAAATTAATAGTTGGCTTGTTGTAGGTGTTTATGTTAAGGCGATAAACTAATCATTGCCTTCTATCACATATTTTCTGATCTTTGGTCCTGCAAAGCAAATGATTTCACTAATTATGCTAAACAATATATTATAAATAGCTTAATTAGACTAGAGAGAATTAGCCTAATGTACAAATAGCTTTGTGGGGGTGATTATTACTTCTTACAAAAGCAGATGACAGATGACTCTGAAGTAAAAGGCGAACCGTCCATATAATGAAAGATCACATCAAGAAAGGCCATGTTCAGAAACTTGGAATTCTTAAATAAAAATGATGTAGGATACCAATAAAAGAAAAAAGATAAATATAAATGTTTTGTGACCTTGTCTATAGATTATGCCTCTAAATTACTTTCAAATGACTGACATGGTTGTAGATAAAGCATAGAATATCAGTAAAGTTGTTTTGCTTTCCCTCCACAAACCTTTATTCGATTTGAAATAATTCACTTATGGGAAATATTGCATTTTCCTGTTTTCTCTTATAATGAGCATTGCCTTCATCACAGAGTCAAAAATTCATCTCTGATTTGATTTAATTGGCAGGCCTATTAAACAAGGGAAGTGCTACCTGCAGGGATCCATCACCCTATTGAGAAAGCCCAGAGATGTTTTCGTACTTGAAAACATTTGATGCCAGTTGGAGGCCTTGTCAAAGCTGTTTTCCATACAGCATCTAAATATTTTTGTGCAATATCGATTTACTGATTGTGAAACTGGATCGTGAGGAAAAAAACAAGGTTAATCATTTTCCCACCCAAGGGTTATTAATAATCTTGTTCATACTATCCAGAGAGTTGCCGTGTATGTTTGCTTTATTTTCCCCCTTTGCTTTAATACTTGTAAATCCCCCAAATAAAAGTTTCATTTGAATTGCCCTTTAACTAATTAGGTTTTATATAATGAGGAAAAATATTACCAGGCTAGTGTAAAGATACGGCAAATTGCATGGTGTGTTACATTAATTTTAAACTGTTTGCTGATGTTCTGGAAGGAAAGCTAAGGTCCCCGGTGAAATGCCTTTGGGAGTGTTACATCATGTACCCAGTATCCTCATCACAGATCCATTTCATATTTGTGTAACTAGCATTTCACATTCATGAAACCTTTGTGGTTATCCTAAAATTGAATGAACATTAGGACATAGCTGCCTATTCAATCCTGAAGAATAAAACAAATACTCCAATAAAGGAAAGGGAGAGAAAATCTTCTTTTAAAAAAATCTGAGAGATTCACCAATCCATATTGACCCATTTTAAGCAAACTGACTCTTTCATGTATTAACCCTTCCCTGGCAAATTAAGAATGTAAAGCTACTTTTTAAGTGTGAGCTCATATCTCTACCTTTGCTAGTTACCTCTGTGAGGTCAAGAAATTTCCAGTTTAAATAGAGATATGTCTACTGAATTTTGTTTTACAAAGAGTGAATCTGAGGCTCAGAGTGACCAAGTAACTTGCCCAAAGTTACACGGCCAGAAATGCCTATTTGACTTTAAAGTTTATATACAGCTTTATACCAAGTAGAACAGATTAGAGAAGAATGCTAAGTTTACCTACTGCTACCCAGACTCTTTCTAACCCACTAAAGTACACCTTAGGAGACCTATTCATTTCTGAATTGACCCACTTTCATGAAGGAAACCATACAGTCCTGGATAAAAACAGAAATTCATTTTCTGTTCCTTCACTTTGATATCAACAGAAGAACTTACACACATGGCATCTCAGGGCAGAGAATGGGGAACTATGACCTTTCTTCCATCAAGATAGGCCCTGCCTGTACCACAAAATATCCTCACTATACGAGGAAGACAAAAATTGTATAGGTGTCAGATATAGCACATAAAACAGTTCAGGAAGTTTTCTGTGTCAGTTATACAACATGTTTATACAGAAAATCAAAATTTTTTCCCTATTGAGATAGTTCTTATATCAAAACAAAATTCTAAGCGCCACCTAAAGGTAGATCTTACACTATCATATTAAACTCATTTTCCCCATCAGTTTAATGATGTTTTGCTTCTGAAAATAAACTACTAGCTATGAAGATGATAAGCAGCCTCCAAGGCCCTAGGGATTTCTCTCACACCACTTCAGGGTTTCCTGTAGATTCCTTTCTAGACATCAATAATGATATTTGAAGATTCCCTGAGGAACAATAGCATAGACTGTATAAACCCAAAGGACCTTATGATTTTATCTTCACCTGATATTCTCTCCAAGTACCTGGGAGAAGGATGTTTTATGAAGGCTCCATAACATCCTATCAGCGTGCCTTTTCATGTCACAGTACCATATTTTAGAACCAAAGAAAGAAAATGTAAGCATTAGTGTTCTAACAGCTTTAAGAGCAACTCATCATTTTATAGATAAAACAAGAGTCAAGTGAACTTAAAGCTTCAGAACAGAAGTCAAGGCAGAATTCCACTTCAATGTCCAATTCCAGCTAGGATTCTTCACATTCTACTATGACATTAGGATTCACCCTCTCATTTATTTAAATTGCTAAAGTATGGGATAATATATGGGAGACCTTTCTAGGAAGAAATCAGTAAACTTTCCCTTTGATGGTAAAGTCACATTTTACCTGTCCTTTAAAACTGCCCATAGAGCAAATTGAAAACGGCCTGATAGAAAGCAATTTAATATTCTAAAGCAATTCTACCTTTAAAGCTTTCTTGATATAAATAAGATGTCTTTAACTTTCTGCTTGAAGCTTATTTTTTTAGCTTGATTCAATATGGCGTCAGAACTAGATGGTAGCGTTTAGCAATTCTAATATGCTTCTTGGCCTCTTCCTATGCAGAAAACTCTTTGGGGCAGAGAGAACAACAATAAAAAAGAAACAAAAAACTTTCTTCCAGAACCTCACCTTTTTTTGAGACAGGGTCTCACCCTGCAGTCCAGGTTGGTCTTGATTTAAGATGCAGCTCAGGCTGGCCTCAAACTCTAGGGAACCCTGCCTCCCCACTGCGGGGATTACAGACCTGGGCCAACACGCCCAGCTCTCACTTTGTTTTTTATAATACAATCTTAGTGGTTCTGATTCATGTAAATGGGTTTCAAGTACTACAGCTCAGTTGTTGTACAATAATCCTCTGCATAGTTCTTAACAAATAGAAAAAGGAGAAAATCTACATATTTGATTCATTTTCTAAGCTAATGCGCTTCTAAACTGAGAGATATTTAGAAATTAACATTTTTTTATATTCCTAAAGGTTAAAAGTCACATATTCTTACAGTATAGAAAATAATTTTTATGGCTTTCTAAACAGTAGTATTAACTGATATAGGGCCTAGAACTGGATTATTCCCTAAAGTAAGCTATATTTCCCATGACTTTTACCACATATCTGAATCCCTTGCTTTGGGAACAATTAAGATTGAATAAAAAAGGAAGAGCACATTATTTTCCTTACTTCAAGTCAGTAAAAGCTTTTTAAACTACTGTAACTGATTTTTTTATTATAACAGTAAGCACAAGTAGAATAAGAGTTAACATTTATTAATGCTCACTACAATGCCAAGAAAATATTAATGCATTCAAACTTTCATAACAAACAATAACCAAGAGTGTTATTATCTCCATTTTACTGTTGAGAAAGCTTAGGGAGTTTGTCTAAGTGGTAAATTTGGAGTTCTGGCCTGAGCTCTGTTTATATGAACCATATTTTAAATAATTTCCTGAAACAGCTATTTTCCAGGCTTTCTGTAGTTATAATTTAAAAATTCAAAATATCAGAATAGTAACAACCACAAGATCTTTTGGCTGTTTTGTTTATTTTTAAAGAGGTCAGTTGTAAGGTCTGTGATTGTCTTCATTCTAACTCAGAAATTCTTTGCAATCCAATTGGTGAATTTGCTAAAGAGATTATGGAGACAAAGTCCTCTTTCCCAGATGGAGTCAATATCCTTAAGTAGAAGAAATATTCATAAAGGGTTATTTCTAAATGATTGGCCATCCACAATCATAGCGTGATCCTTCCCTTCATGCTAACAATATTTTCTCAATGCCAGTTTAAGTTTCACTTTGACAATCAAAAGGTCCTTCATGAAGCCACTCAGTAGTGATCCCTCTTCATTCCCTAGATTCTCCAAAGGGGTATCTGTCATCCCAACAGGCTTTATTCCTCCACGAACATCAGTAGGATACTGCTATGCTGTAAGAGAATCACTGGAGCGATGGGACTTGTCAGCTGAAAAGAAATCTTGGTGATCTCTTCTGCAACATCTTTATCTCACAGATAAGGAAACTGCAGTCCAGAGAAATGAACAGCCAGATAGTTCCTAAATGGTGGAGCTGGGATTAGGTTTCTCATCTAATAATTCACAGTACCATCTGCCCTGTAACAAAGCACCTCTCTGAGCTTCATGTTGACCTGGGGATTTTTCCCTAGTTGATTTGCAAAGAAAATGAAATTACTAAATTTGCAGCAGCTCACCCAAAGGGCCATAGAAATACTTTTGATGTATTATCATTTTCTCCTATTTGCAATTTATAACCACTTGAAACAAGTAGCTCAATAGCTGAGCATTCTCAGAGGCTTCATCTTATACAAAGATTTTCATTGAGTTTGTAAATGATAAGATAGAGTTTGTCTCAATTATTCTATTAATATGGCCTCTAACATGACTAATTTACTTCGGGGAATTAAATGTTTGTTAGTACAACTGGCCTCATGTATGAACAACTAAGTGTTTGTTAATAATACTTGTCAAATATTTACTTCACACCAGGATATTAGAGTAACAAAAGTAACCAGAGAGAAACAGGCTAATTTTAATTGGTTTTCTTATTTGATCTTATAAAGCAATAATTTTTAAATTTAAGATGCGATATCAAGTTGCATTTTCATTTATTAAAATATATATGGCTGATATCAGCAGTGATATAGTATAAGGGTTTAAAGACCATGAATATCAATATCCATATCTTTCAAGAACATTTTCCCTCCCAAGGATTTCCCTCCATCAGGATTTTCACATGATGGCTCACAGTGGTTCTGAGTTTTCAATGCTTAGGATGACTAGGCATCCTACACAATGCAAAGTACCTGGAAAAAATGTCTCTATTCTCAGGCATAAACAAGGGTTTGCCTGCCCAAGAAAACTATATTAGCTGTGCAATACAGAAGAACATTGTATTCTTGGTAGAGAACAGATTGGAACTGAGGTGTCTATCTTGAAAATTCTGTACAGGTCATGTAATCTAAATAATTCAAAAGTAGAATGACCTATATTACTTTTCTTAATTACATATAAAATTATTAACAACATCAGCATCCTGAGAAAAATTTTAAAATACTCACAAAAGCTATACAATATTACCATAAAATATTTAATTTCTTGGAATATGGAATAAAGTTTAATTTGTAGAGTTAATTTTTAGAACTCAGTTCTAAACTCTTATGTTATTTATTATCCTTGCTTAAATTTCTTGGCAAAGCTTATTAACAAACTAGTAAATCATATTATTACTCTCATTTTATCAAGGTAAACAAGTCACTGAATGCTTGTACTAAACTGAACAGACATCACCCCACTTATTACCTGTATTTGCATCTACTACAGAAAAATGGACAGAACTATTTCACCAAACTGAGATTGTCTTAATGTAATACAATAATATAAGTAAATATATTTTTACATAAACACTTACCAATGATTTGAAACCCTTTCCAAATAAATGATTCCTAGAAATATTATTTCTTTCAAAATATAATTTCTAGTTTTTCATAGCTGATCATAACAGATCACTTAGGCTTGTTCTACCAATTCAATATGTACTCATCATCAAAATGTTCAAGTAAAAAGTGATATTCCATCAATAAGCTACATATTTTTTGTGTATGTAGTCATATATTTATTTAATAACACCTAAATACAGATGTAGAAACGCTTACATTTTTTTTGTGTTCATTTTGGCAGATATAGCTATATGAATGCTAAGATTTTCTTTGCCTTTGTGTATATATGTATCAAAGCAGAGAAAGCAGTGCAGTGGCTTTGTTTGAGATCAGCTTTTCTAGCAAATATGTTAAAATTAGAATAATAGTCTAAGTTTTATGTCTGGCAAGCATGTTATTTCCTGTAATCTAATGCTGGAGGAAACAATCTGATAATACCTATTTACAGTAGCCTAGCCACTTGATATCAATTTCTCAATTATCAGATATTTATGAAAGCTTTTTTCAAGGCTCTGACCTTCTTCAAAGAGGTCCAGTATAGTTAAGGATGTATGAAGTACAAACAGCAGCATTCAAACTCATGTCTACCCAAGACCCGGGGCACTGACAGTAAAGTGGTGCAGGAACATGGAGGCAAGAGCAAGGCTTGTGGACTTGGGTGGTCCTCAGGGATAAGATGAGAGATGTGGTTTTGAACTGTGCTTAATGCACAGTAGGATTTGAATCATGAAATAGCTGCTTTAACAGTCATGACCAATACAAGTTAACAAACAGCGAATCCTAAAACCTAGGTGCTATCTTGGGATTTGTCCTTAAATTGGTGGGCCCAAGACAGAAAGAGTATTAACTAAGCAATCATTTTAATGATCTCTGGATTGGAAACAGTAATTCTAGAAGCCTACTCGGAAGTGAAAAGCATCAGGAAGCATACCCACAATCATATATTCGGACCCTGGATCTGACTGGAAGGGCCTTGCACTGTTCTTCACCTAGAAACACCACTTCTCCCTCCTTCCTTCTCAGAAATTGCACATGTAAAAATAAGAAATAGATCTACTTTATTTCAGAGATAATGGCTCACACTTAAAACATGCCCCCAAAGAATCTCTCATGGAAGACTAATGCAACCAGTTCATATCTGTAAATATAAATTGAGGAGTATGGAATCTTCAAGTGAGAAACTATTTCTTTAGCGTTATCTCCCAGTTTCAGGCACCAGCTTTACATATTGGTTTGGATTCCTTAAGTCCCTATTTGGTTATTTGTGTAAGAATATTCTACCTTATTTCAAAAGCAAATGCGTCACTTCATTAGGGAAGTGGCTATATATTTAATGTCCATTCAATGTTTTGGAAATCATCAGTTGCTTGCTCTTGTTTGGTATGGGAGTCATGTTTTGTTTAAGTGCATCACAGCCAAGTCACAAAGCAGATGTGTGGTTTGTGTCTTTTGTCCATATAATTAATTTTCTGTTTAGACCAAATGACATCATAGCGGAAAATAACATTCCCTGATTTTTCCCGGTGCGTGCAGATCCTCCAAAGTTTAATAGGATATGGCCGAATATTTCTTCCCTTGAGGTTTCTAACCCAAAACAAGGTAGGAGCATGTAAAATTCCTACTGATATAAAATCCCACATATTTGAGGGAAAATCCCACATACAATTTCTTAACACTAAATAACATTATCATGAATGTCATGCCTTCAAAAGGATCATAATTGAAATCATTTTTTCTAACATAAAGATTTTCCCAGCAATATTGGAGTGAAAAATGAAGAAGAAGAAAAAAATGAGATGGTGTAGAAGTTATAAGCCCTTTACCAAATTCACACTGAATGTCAGGCAGTCTCAGGAGAATCCCAGAGTTCTGTCACCATCACAATGGGGAGTATAAATAAGTCTTAAAACTTTTACATGGCAGAGGTGTCCTTCCAGTATCTACCTTTAGCTTTCCTTTAGTTTTCTCAGTTAGGTTGAGGGCCTAGATAAACAGAAAAGGCAGCGCTGTGACACCCAATAGATCTGTTTGCCTGTACTGCTGCTTCATTTTGACTTGGAACTCTCCCTCTCTCTCTCTTTCTCTCTTTCTCTGTCTCTGTCTGTCTGTCCATCTCTCTCTCTCTCTCTCTCTCTCTCTCTCTCTCTCTCTCTCTCTCTCTCGTGCGCATACACACACATGCACACATCCCATCACAATAAATTTTCTTTGTTGGAATTTACCTCTATCCCTTATTCAATTGACATTCATGTCTACCAGCATTAACAGCAAGCTATTTTCTGTTTTTAGAGAACTAATTATTTTCTAACTTCTGACATTGAAGGAGAGGAAGGAACGAAGGAATGAAGGAAGGAAGGAAGGAGGGAGGGAAGGAGGGAAGGAAGGAAGGAAAGAAAGAAGGAAGGAAGGAAAGAAGGAAGGAAGGAAAGAAGGAAAGAAGGAATAAAAGGAAGTGAGGGAGGACAGGGAAAAGGAGGGGAGAGGGAAGAAAGGGTTAGACACAGACAGACAGCAGTCTGATTATATTGTAAGAAATAAGACAGAAAACTTCCCCATCTGCAGAGCAGTGTTAAATTCACTTAACATCTATCATCTGTACATATGCATATGAAAATAGTTTAGTTTAATATAAAACTATTATTTTGCCTTCTGCCTTCTCAAAAATTTTTGACCTCTCCCTTCCTTAGTTATATACAGGATGGTCTTTCAGACTAATGAATGCAGATGGTAGAGGAAATGAGCAAAAGGAGGAACCAGGAAATAGCTGCTAAGCAAAACAAAATATATTAGCAACTTGTTGAGGAGTCAGATTGGAAAGTGCATTTTCAGACCTTGATCAGAGTGATGAAATCGAGACTGTCCTAGATACATATATTACCATCAAATAGAATTATCTTAATCATTTGCTCCAAACGAATTTTATCAAGTTTCAGCCTACATATGTGCAAGAAGAAATACAGATCAAGCTCACCCCTGTTAGTGGAATTCTGTGAGGATTCAAGGCAGGTTTACTGGTTTTATTCGTTGGCAAGTTCAGCTCAACAAATTACGCGAGACAAAATCTTAGACTTAACACGCCACAGTAAGTTCTGAGCTGAACAAGATTATACTTTGTTCAAAACCTGAAATAGACACATCTAATTATTTTTCTGTGGTCTTCTGTGAATGTCACAGGACAAAAAGCTCTCAGAAATATTGTTAGATAATGCCAGTTGCACTTTTTTAGAATGTGGATAATGAGCTCAAATACATCTGTCTAAAAAGCAGCATTGTTAAATAAAGTGCTTGAACTTGAAATTTTAGTAAAAGGAGCACCTTGATAGCAGAGGCCAGTTCCGTGGAGCCATCACTTGTCTTGTCAGCATCTGCAGAGCACACCAGACTCTGCTCTGTTGTGGCTATTTTCACAAGCAAGACTTCACAAATAATTGGAAAGGAAATGCCAGGCAAACCTAAAAAGAAAACCCTACCATTAACAAACTTGTAGCATCACGAAGGTAATAAACACTGAGAAAGTTACAATTTGTAAAGGCACTCACGTTCACATCCCAAATGCTGCTGAATGTGGACATGGTGACTATGTTCTATGGTGTTTAGTCAGCTCAGCATAAATGGTCTAGCTGGTTCGTGCACAGACAGAATGACATGGGAAATTGGGCCAATGTTATTTTTAATCCATAACATAACTGCTACATTTAAAAGGGAGAGAATTAGGGGCTTCTGATATCCATATTTTTATGGGAAAAATCTTTAACTGGATTCCTGATTTAAATGGTAATCCCTTTTGACTGCTAAAATAAAACTTCTAAACTTTATTATTGATAATGTTGAACCATTTTTAAACACATAAAGCCTTCCTTTGTAAATGAAACAAACTCCCAGGAACAACAGACAAATAGCTCCTTCTTTTAAGGCTACTTTTGAGTGGGTTGGTAATAGTATTACAGTTTGAACATTTCACTGTTGTTTCTAATTTGCTGTTATTCTTTTAAACCTATGCAGTTGCTCCCAAATTAGCTTTGTCAACAGTTTCTTCTGTTCAAGTTGCAAACCACAAGAGAGGTAGGAATTCTTGGATTCATACAGTGATCCCATGGTGTTATGTCTTGTGAAACATTGCACTGTATGAATCTGGAATATCTGTGAAGTGTACCCATCAGCTTACCGTTGAGGCATGTTCACTGATATTAATCGATGCATTGACTAGTACTGAGACCATCACCTATATGAAAGAAATGCTTCTCTCAGACATTTGACTGCAACTAAAAATGCTGCAACATTTGTTTTCTGAAAGATTAATGTGTGGATAAGAATTATGAGTGTTTAGGGTCCTGTTTAGACCACAAATATGAAAGCACCAACACCGATACCCATTTGCATTGAAAATAAGGGAACTCACAGTGACTTTCAGGGGTGTTTTTCGTGAACCCAGAATAGTGGGTTCCATACCTGGTGCTCATTTTACTTTGTGACAAGTGAAACCTCTTGAAATTCGTGCTTCCAAATATTATTTTGAATAAACTTGAAAGCTACTGGTAAAGATACGTGCTGGATTAAGTGTCAAATGTAATCTGAAAATAATATTCAAATTACTTTCCTTAAATGAAAGCCAACAGTACCTCATCTGTGACTCATGGATGGCCCATCCCAGCTAGCATCTGTCATTCACAGAATGAATATTTTTCAGGAAACATAAAGACCCTGTTTTTATTTTACCATTTGCCTTTAAATGTCCCACGTAACAGGTGTACCTTGTTTTCCCCCCTTGACTGTTGGATCTATGTCATTTTTGTTGTTATTTTGGGATTTGTTTTTCCATGAAACATGTCCTCCCAAAAATAATATTTATTAACAAAATCTGAACTTAGTTTGAACCACTTGATGAAATGACCATAACATCTTTCTTTATTGAATTTAGTCATTTTCCAGGTTTTAGTCAATGCTAAATTTGTTCTGTGGCGTCTAGAAAAAGAGAAAAAGTAAGTCAGGAGATGAGGGGAAAGGAAACTGAGAATATTTAGACCGTGTCTAAACTTCCCTCACAATGCGCTCGGAACTATGGAGCACTGAAGGTGCGCTTTTGGTGGATATCCACGTAGGTCTGGAACATGCGGAAATGCATTATGAACAGAACTACGTATCACAGATTCAGAGGGTAGCAAGTCGATCCGGGCATCTGGTATAGATAATAGGCAGGCACTAAAGCCAGGTAGGACTGCAATTCGCCATCTATGACAGGCAATCCATGGAATGAGATCGAAGAGGTGAATGAGAAAAGAGGCAAAGAAGAGTTGCCTAAAGTCTCTCTCTTTATGTCAAGTCAGTATGCCGGACGCTCAAGCTGCCTCTCACCGGGAGCTAGACACTGTGTTATTGAATCTCTAGTATTTTGAGGACACAGTGTTGATGAGGCAGGAAAAATCTACCCAAGGAAATAGATTTATTTTAAAAATCCATGCAGAAGAGCTTCAGGGGCTACATAAAGGTACAAAACAGGTGGGAAAAGGAACAAGAGATTTCTAGATCCTCTTCAGTTCTACCCCTGAGGGAAGCTTCAGGCCCCGGAGGAAGTACCATGCCGTGAACACAGTGAAAGGAAAGTATCGACGCGTTCTAATCCCTTTACCTTCTATTACCTCCTTTTCTTAAGTCCTTTCTTTTTGAATGACAAAATGAATTTTCATCAGCTCTGAATGTGAAAAAGCTTTCCTCATTTAGAAAAACCTACCTGTGCCGCCTTCGGATTATTTTATGTTATGATTGCATAGGGGATGGAATAATGTCTTTATAAGCAACAGGAGCAGAGTAAGAAGAAGACACAAAAGGGAAATGGAATACCTTCCTCTTCTCCCTGACATTTGTTTCCTTTGATTCTCTTTGTCTCCAAAATTTGTTTTCCAGTGACTCTTTCCTGCCCTGGTCTTCCCCAGCCAGTCTCAGTGAGAAAGAGCCTTTTAAACCTCAGAGAGCTGCGGGCCTTTGCTAATCTGGAAAATCAACTTTGAACTCTCCCTTTTCTGCAATGTCCTTACCCTCCACTGCTCTATACGTTATTAAGTACCTTATTACCGTAATTGCCTTATATAATGGAGATGTGAGACCCGATTTCCTGTTGTGGTTGGGGGATGCCTTCCAGGGGACATTTGACAATAGCTGGGGGCGTGTTTCCTGGTCACAGGTTCGGCTTTGCTACTACTTCCTGTGGGTAAGACCGGGAATGTTTGTGAATATCATACAAAGCTCAGGACAGTCCCAACCAACAAGGACGTATTGGGGCCCAAATGTCAGTTTTGCTGCAGTCAGGAAACCCTGCATTAGACTACAAGAATATGCCTCATTCGTTTCACTTTATCTCCTGGTACACGATGCCTGGTACAGGATCATCGCAATGAGTGTGTGTTGCCAATGCTTGCCTTTTCACATCATGTGTACGTGCACTGAAGACCCCTTTAGCTTTGTTTACACAACAGTAGCACTGGCCTGAAATCTATCTATCTATCTATATATATCTACCTATTTATAAATATATATGTTAATCTACAATGCAGTTTGAGATTAAAAACATTATAAGCCACAGCAATATTCAGTAATCTGCTTTTTCTGCCTAAATTGTCCTGTTCATAGATTCATACTCAACTCCCAGGTAATATAATCACTAACTTAATTGTATCTTACTGTGTGGGTGCTGTTTTTCTAAACTCTAATATATAGAATATAGCCAGGCTCTCTTAAAGGATTTGCATGGTGGTGGAATAAATTTAAATATAACTTTCTTCTGTGTCTTCCTCTGCCACCAGTGGAGGTTGCTTTGAGATCATCCTTCATTCTTTTAGTCAATCATTCAACAATGTCTTCTGAGTGATAACTATGTACTGGGGGATGCTTAAGCTCTGTAGTTGTACTGGGGACAAAACATCTTGTCGGCACTAATGTGGTTACATGTGGAGCAGAAAGGGAAGATTTTGCAGTGATAAACAGAATCAGGAAATGGGAAGTTTAGGATGTTTGGAATGGGGGTTGTTATTTCAGATAATGTTGTCAAAAAGGTTTCTTTAAACGAAAACCTAATGAGAGAAATGAAAGAGCAAGTAATGCAGGAACTTCAGGGAGTGTAGAAGGAGGAGTATTCTGGACAGAGGCAGCAGCACCTGCAAAGGCCGAGAGAAGTGTTTGGCACTTTTGAGGAGCAGCATGAAGAGGAAGAACAGTGATAGCAGCAAGCTCCTGAGGAAACGAAGAGCCCGAGCCCTGGCAGGAATGATTTTCCCTTTTTTCTGAATGAGATTGGAAGCCATTTGGACAGTGAGTCCGCAAGTGTCAAGACCCCATTTGAGTTTTGAAAGAGTCACTCTGACTGCTGGGGGAAGCAGAGATTATCACAAAAGGGGAAGCCAAGACAGCAGTTTGGGGATGATGGTGATAACCGAAGCAGTGATGCTGGGGGTGTGAGAGGTAGTCAGATTTTGAATGAATTTAAAAGCTCAGCTAAGAGCATTTGCTGCTGGATTGGATATCAGGAGTGGGGAAAAGGAATGGTTGTGAACAACTCTAGGCTACTGAGCTAAGCAGTTGGAGAAATGAAGTTATTTTTGAGATGAGGCCCCCCATGAACAGCACAGGGGGGTTAGGAACATAGCCCAAGAGCTCATTTTTGAACGTCTTAAAGTTGTGATCTTTATTAACTGTTCAAGTGGGGACTGTGAGAAGGTAGTTGAACTCAACATATGAGGCTGAATGCTGTCTCAGTAACTACGAGGAGTTGATTCAGGATAGAAATAGCCATTCTGGAATGACCCACATATAAATAGTTTTTAAAGTCATGGGTCTAGCATATAAAGCACCTAGGTTAAACCTCAAGGGCATAGAGATCCAAGGACAAAACCCTGAGACAAGAAAATCACACAAAAAGCAGGAGAGGACACCCCAGAAGTTCATGACCAGGAACTTGAAGTGAGATTCATTTCCAAATGGTTGGAGGAAAAACTCTAGCCACTTTTAATGTTCATTTACCATTCCACATGCTGACATGTAGACCTGCAGAAATGAGGAACTAATTTAGCAGCGTCAAGTTTTCCCAGGAAGGAAGGCAACCGAGTGTATAAAAGGAAGCACAATTAATTATTGTAAGTATGGAGCACAGACCCTCCGCTTACAAGAAGAGGAGGGAGGGTGAGGCACGTCATTGAAAGGAAGAATTAAAGAATTATTCAACTGTTAGAATCATCTCTTTGGGATCTAAATATTATAATGCAGCTGAAACTATATCATTAGTGATCATTAATGAGTTCTGTGTCTAAATGAAGATGAGGTATTGAAGAATGGTAAATTAATAGGGTACTATAAGATAATATGGCGGGGCTGGGGATTTAGCTCAGCGGCACAGCATCTGCCTGGCAAGCGCAAGGTCATGAGTTCGATTCCTGGTACCTGAAAACAAACCAAAAAAAAAAAACAAAAAAGATAACATGGCAACCTAATAATTATATTTGAAATGCTTATGGAATAGGAAAAAAATACAAGATAGTTAAAATAGTGATTCTACTGGTTTTCTTAGTTCATAGAAAAGAAAGTTTTGTTCTGATATCGTTTGGACAATTTTTCATGCCTACGTCTTGTACTCTGAGTAGCTACTTTAAAGACAACAATATGCAAAGTATTAGCTATTGTTACTCTCCTATTATTTTCTTTTGAAATTTTGTTTTATTCTTTCTTGAAAGTAAAAGAAAGGCTTCCTATTTATATAATGTTCTCATGCTTTCCAAATCACTTTCAAAAATGTTTTTCTCATTTAACATGTTCAAATACATCATGACCAGAGAAGACAGCTTGATCAAAGTCTCAGAAAAATCCTAAAGTCTTAAAAGATCAAGTTATTGCGAACCCATCTCATAGATTATAAAACACTTTAAATACCTGCTTATTTTTAGAAATAGGTTTATAATACTGTATGGTTAGTGGAGCATAGTTTCACACATAATTATTTAACCTTTCCTATCCAAAGTGACTAACTGATTTGAAAACAAGACTCAAAAATAGTGAATGTCATCACAGAAATGTATACCACTCGTTAGATTTAGATATTAGTAAGCAATATTGTTATATTTGACATGGCAATGGTGATTTCCAGGATAAATATCAAAGTATTCAACTTGGGTTTTGTTTCTCAGTACTGAGATGAAGCCCAAGGCCTTTCCTAGGCTGAACCTCATCCCTGAGCTTGAGGATATGAGATACACTTTTTCTTGATAGTTTTGTTAGATAGAATGAAGTATCAGTTATAGCTACTGAGCAGATCCTGCAGAATCCCCTAAATATCCACAAAGGAATCATATGAAAATTCTCTTGTCTTATTCTCTACCTTTCCCCAGTTTCATATCTTTGCACACTCTTTATTCCTTTCAACTGAAATACTATTTTCTCTCTAAAAATAAAGCAAAAACTTTACCTTAGTCAGTGCGCAAGTCCTACTAGACACTTTCCCTCACTCCTGTCAAGCTGAATGAATTTCGCCTTCCACCTTTGTGTCACTATTTTGTTTTCTTAGCACAAACTGTTTTATTTCCTAGTTATCTGAGTACATATTTGCCTTACTCACTCATTAAACTTCTGTGTAGTTCCAGAAAGATTTGAAATTAATATTTGCCTATAAAAGATGCTTTTGAAAAAAGTTGTATTAACTAAATTGGCCCCAAGGTCCAACTTAGGATGGAAATCCTGAAGAAGGACAACCAACAAGGGACCTCTCCCCTAGGAACGACAGAGCCCCTGCGAATATTGTTCTCTCCCCAGGAATGTCAGGCAGGGCCAAAGAAGTCCATGGGAAGCATCAGGTTTGGAACCCGCAGCCAATGCTGCTGGGAGGATTCAGGCCAGAACGAGTCTCCCTGTCTCAAATTCTCAGCCAAGGAAGGCTCTAGAAACCTTTCCTGTTTCCCAGGGAGTCAGAGATGCCAGTATGAGCAAGGTGTAGCTCAGGCATGCATTCTGGACCTGGTGAAAGGTTGCCGCCAAGATAATTTACTTGGGTAATCTGTAACTATTTTTATTGGTGGTGTTATTATTTCCTTGGCATGTCTTAACAACTACATTTAATTTCTTACTCCATCTCCTATAGTGAATCCCAAGGCCTCTTTCCCTCTACACTCTCCTCCTCCCTACACTCTCCTTCCCTCCTCCCTGACCTCTCAACCAACCCTACTCCCTGCACATATGTAGAGCAGACCGTATATAAAAAATGTGGTGTGACCTCAGGATCCTCCCATCTTTGTATTCCCCTTTTCAGCAACTGGATTCCCCAAGTTCCTGTCACCACACCTCGGCATGTTTTTCTCTTCAATATCCCTAGTGTCTCCTTCTGCTGTTCTGCAAATCAGATTTCATTCCCTCGGGACCATGACCTTAGCAATCTATTTGAATAACCATCTCTCTAATAGATGAACCCACACTGTTGTAATAAGTGGTATTATATTAGTAAGGAAAATTCTTAAAGCTAGCCGCCTCTCCTTGTTCCTTTTTACTTGCTAGCACCCAGTTTTTACCGTGATTATAAAAATTCGGTACGCTTAAAACTTTATGTAAGCCAAGGGGTAATTCAACACCCAGCATGGTTTCCAGCACATAATAGTGACTCATGGAATTGCTGAATGAATGGATGAATGAATGAATGATTGGGCTCAAATATTGACTGTTTGGTTTTTTAGCAAAATAAAATAAAAGCTAGGTATTGATCGGAAGAGTATTTATCGGCAAACACAACGTGTTTGCTCTTCCTTATAAATTTCTAATCCAACCTATTCTCATATTTTGGTGAGATGCAGTAGACTCCCCACCTCATGGTTCCTTACATTTTTCTATTGGTTTAATAAGTATTTCTTTACCACTTCTGTTAAACAGACTGGATTAGAGTAACAACTTCTTTCCCTGGTTGAGTTGCACAAGAGGAGATCTCGTCACCCTCTGTCCTCCCCAGTTCTCTCATCCTCTTTCTCCATCTCCCTGTCTGGTTCTGACCACCTTCACTCCTACGCCGCAGAGGCATCTCTCACATCTTAGAGAGAAAGTGGAAAAGAAATCTTGAGGTATCGTAGCTGCCTAACCCTGTTTTATAGCATGAAACTTGAAAGAAAAAGGAAGTCTTAAGATCATGTTTTTCACACAAATAATCTCTCCATCTTTTGTGTTTCCTCCTGCACATAAACATGCAGATTTGACATGAAGAAAGGCATAAGAAAGCCCTCCTCTCCTCTTAGAAGTGGAGAAAAGCAGTGTGTAGTCATTGGGGGGAAACCAAGATAAAGAACTGTGGGGGCTGTCTGGGTCTCTGCTAAATTTGCCAGGATTTCCATGAAGTCTTGACTGAGTGACCGTCTTGCCTAAACAGTAGTGAGGCAAAGGCCCATGGGATCATGGCAGACTCAGACCTCGATGCTCATGTGCTTTGCACCCTTTTTTAAAGACTGCAAATATGAAGAGCAAATGGGGAAATGTGCAAAACAGTAAAGTTTTCCTTGTGCAAAAATTAGATTTTTGCATCAGTGGAAACCAAGCCTTCTCAAATTTTAAAAGGCGTACACCTGCAAATGCTTCTGTTCATCCTGTCTGCCAAAAGTTAACAGTCTTCAGTCATGTTCTGAATGTCCGACCTTTCTCTCCTGCCTGCAACAGATGCTACTTCCATACCCGTCTCAGCCACCTGTTGCCGCCGTGTGTCATGCTGATTTACATGTATGTGATGCCATCCCATCTTTTCTCCATTCCCCATTTTACCCAAGCATGTAGTGTGCTATGACTCTGCTGCTGTATACACTCTGTATACATTTCTGTTCTTCCTTGCAAGATTGCGAATGCTTCGGCCACTCCAATCGATGCAGTTATATCGATCTGCTAAACACAGTCATTTGCGTGAGCTGTAAACACAACACTAGAGGGCAGCACTGTGAGTTATGCAGGCTGGGCTACTTCCGAAATGCTTCCGCGCAGCTGGACGATGAGAATGTATGCATAGGTCAGTTCCATTACAATTTCAGCTTTCGTTCTGTGCCTTTTGAGCTACGGGGAGCTATTGCAGGTGGGGAGGCTGATGACTTGCAACACAGCTGAGTCAGAAAGAACTTTCTCAATGGGGCAAATATTCTTGTGGTAGACTTAGAAGTCACGTCTAGTTGAAATAACACTGGGGGAGGGGGCTATGTTGTGACTCCTTATGCTGTCACTTTAAAGGTGATGATCAGGGCCTGGGGATTTAGCTCAGCAGCACAGCACCTGCTTGGTAAGCTCAAGGTTGTGAGTTCGATTCCCGGTACCGGAGAATAACCAAAAAATAAATAAAGGTGATATTCAGAAAAACCATGGTTAGGAAATGAAGATTCTAGTTTTTTAAAACTTTTTCTTGCATGAAATCATGAAACCTGGTAATTTTGACTTGATTTTTTTATGGCCAACCTTGTAAAAGGAAATTCATAATATTGAATTTCTTTATAGATATGGAAATGCGGGGTACTAGCTCGTGCATCCAATTGGGGATCAGCAAGGACTGATGAATTTAAAACGTTGCCACTTGGAATTGAAGGCTACTAGCAAGTGATAAAATAGAAGTGTGCCTGACTTTTCCATCCAGGGTTAATGAAATTTCATTTATTACGTTTTCCTCTAGCCCCCCCCCCCTTGCAAACAGACATATTTTCTCAAGTAATTCTCTCAGCTTCCAAAGTGCAGGAGGCCTGGAAAACCTGGTCCCCCGTGGCCTCTTGAGCACTTTCCTCTGCTCCCCAAAAATGACCACTGCTCTTGTCACCTAGGGCAAAAGCAAGTGCCCTTCCCACCCCAAATCTTCTACCTTCTGCAGAGTGGGACTTGTGTTTAAGGAAGGGAGGCTGGTGGAAAAGTAAGAAACAATAAATGGAATTTCACACTTAACTTACTTTGAAAAAATATATATATATGTCTGAAATGCTGAATCTGTTACCCCGCTAGTAGTTAGCTATACAATTGAGCCGTTTTAAAGGTAGGATTTTTCACATAGGGACTAACCTGAATATACAAAATGGAAATGACAGGTAATCTTTCATCAAAAAATGCAATCCACCTGCATTTCTGGAATTATTGCTTTCTAATTGGCTTGTCAAGGTCACATAGAGTCTTGCTGACTATCACAAAGTAGCTGTGTAATTTTTTGAATTGAATTAAGCCAAGTATACATAATACTATTAATGTCTACAGTATTTTCTATTTTTCAAAGATCCTCCTATTTATTATTTGTGAATTAGTGGAGAAAGTTCTGGACTTAAAACTGGAGAGCTGGGTTCAAGTCCCGGTTTGCTATTTAGTAGCTGTGTCTCTTAGGTAAGTCATTTGATCAGGTGGGTTACACAGGAAACACTTAATCAACTGTGAACTGACCTGCAAATTTGGTTTAACTCTCATTAACCAAACCCTAGGGTAAGTATACACAATAATCTCCCCTATTTTCTACTTGAGAAAGAAAAGGCAAATAGACCCAAATCATACAGCTTTCACAGGAGCTTCCTGATTCCAAAGGTTGACACTCTCCTAACCATTGTGACACAATTAGCAAAGTGAAGTGTGTCAGATTGTTAGCTATAGCATGTTTTTTGGATGACAGCAGCATTTCTAATACAAGCTTATGAACAGAAGAGCAATTGCCTTTAGAGCACATGGGTTGTAATGATTTGAGGATATTAATAAAAATCAGGGGGCGCATAGTTGTCTGAATTTCGAATGTAGGATACATTCAACTGAATGGCATTTGTAAAAAATATATAAATGTCACGCCATAAATATAGAAACAGCAGAAAAGGTAAATAGGAACACAAGAATAAGGCTTGCTGATTTTTACAAAATACATAAGATTGAAATGTCTTACAATAATTAACATTTTAATTGGATCAAAGAAAAAGACCTTAAAGGAAAAAAATTGAGCATTGAATTTGAACGGGTATACAGCAAGTAGCTGAGAGTTAATTTTAATATCAGTTTTTCTAAAAAGCACTGATAGAAATGAATGGGTATTTACCTAACTCATTTCCACAGAATTAGGCAGTAGTCTTGGAAACTTTGAACTTCTTCTCATTCTTGTCTGCATTAAGATTTTTCTAAGTGTACCTTTCCAGTTCCTTAACAACTGGCAATTAATTTTGCCCATGCTGCCTGTAAGGGAACAGCTCATACCTTTGAAAAATGTAGACTGTTGAAATAGATGTGTTAAAGTACTTGCATCACTTTATATATTACGGCAAATATATATATGGCAAATATAAAATGCAGCTGGCTAGTCCATGTTGCCACACCGATAGCTGCTTTGTGATTACCGGTGAATTTACACCTTTTTTATACAAGTTCCAGACACAGCCATGTCTCCAAAGATGCATGTAATTACCTTAGGATGCAAAAATTATATGAAGATGACATCCTTGCATGCCTCTGTTTCATATAAACTTGAGCGTTAAGCAGGAAGCTGGAGGATACATGGTTTGTGACCTTGGGTAATCAATGTTAATAATCACAGTTAATAAGCTTTGCATCTGAATGAAACACAGGCTCAGCAGTTGCTGCTAAACATATCTCAAGGTTTTGACGTATTATTTTTAATTCTCCTTGAAACCTAAGATCAGGTAATCAGAGGTACCTTATGTAGAACAAAGCAAATACAAGACGATTTTAATATCTATAAATCAATTTTAGTGTAAGTTTTTAATCAAGCCCAGCTAAAGTACTTCGTGTTGTTCTGTAATCTAGCAGTTCTGTATATTCTTCATATTTCCACGGGATAAAATAGGATCATCCAAGGCTATTCCCAAGATGCAGCATCTACCAATAAATATAGTTTTGTAGCTGACATTTTTGAAAAATTAAAATATTTATACGTAAGGTGGAGGATAAAACCACATCTCTCCTTGTCGCTTGTTTGCATGACTGTTTGAATAATATTGCACTTACCAAATTTCCTAGGGTACACCACTGATATGCTATCATTTAGAGATGTTCCGCTGTTCTCTTGTTTGTTTTTTACTTTGTTTATGTTTATGCATTGAAAGGCTTATATTAATTAATTGTTTTGAATAATTAACTAAAACAGTATGTGAATTCATGCTGGACAGATGTAATTCTGTTAACTGGTTTACATATGTTGGTGATTCACTGTTAACTTAAATACTTTAATAGCATATAAATAGTAGGAGACCGTTTACAGTTTTGGTCTAGGTACACACTTATATATACATATATACAAACATTGAAAAAGCATAACAAAATTACCATTTTAAAATATATTTTAAAAACAGCTCCTATGTACACATATACATTAGAATAGATAATGTCACTTAACAGATATACAACATTTTACAACATATCACAAGCACAATACAGACAGTACGGAGTTACAAACAAAGTGGTAGGGAATTAACAATGGTGGTTGTATTACATATTGATATCTTCAAAGTGGCTTCTCATGAAAACAGATATAGACTCCTTTTATCTTTAAAATTAAAAAAAAAAGATAATGTCACTTAAAATAAAACCTTAGTTATTAAGTACAAACCTACTCAGGCAAAGAGGGAAGATATTAGAGTTTATTTATTTAGATTTTTTACATATATGTATCACTGTTAGTTTTATAATGTTGGTTTTGTAAAAATGCTGTTGTTAAAAACTGACTTTACTTGAAATAAATCATAATTCTAAATTACAATACCTTGTTTAAAGAAAGTATCTAACTAGTCTCTAAAGTGTAAAGTTAGAGCAAATCTCCTGTGTCCCTCTGTAGTGTTAAAGCCTTGATCGCCATTGTCAATCTTAAGGCGTTAAACTTGATTATATCAAACTACAGTTCTTAGGACTTCAGTTGTTTGGTTGATTGGTTGGTTGGTTGGTTGGCTGGTTAAACATATGCTTTTGTATGGATTTTAGCAAGAGAAACTCTTAATGGGCTGATTTTAAAATAATAGAAACTAAAAGATGAGAGACATAATATCCTACCAGAGATGACACAATGGTATAAATTGCAGACTATCTGTGATACTCTTCCAGCTAATGGAAGCCTAAGAAATTCTCAGTTCTAGTTCAAGCTTTAGATACTACAGAGCTCCAGAAGTAAAACTATCCTATAAAAGTATGTGTAAGGAATCAAGAAAATACTGTTTACTTTTTATTATGCAAAGCTGTACTGTCCTGCCAAGCAGACATTATAATAAACACCCTAAATTATATCTATGTTGAAACTTATTTAGGATTACAAAACATGTTTTTCTTTCATGGCTGTTAATGCAGGCTGCATAAAAGCTATATTGCCTGGCCTCTCAGTGCAATATCAAAGAGCTCATCACAAAACAGTAGGTACATAAATAAGTTAAGGCACCATCCCGAATCATAAAGCAAAACTATCTTTGAATAAGCAAAGTGCATCCATACTGCGCTTTTTAAATGTTCAGCAGTTCTCAGATATTGAGTTTAACCGATAAACCCATTTGAATAATTTAAAACAGATTTTTACACTGATGGTATATTGATTTATCCTTGAAATACAAACTTCTCCTGGTGTTCATTAAACCATCTAAAACTGACCTAGCAAATGGAATCTCCATTATGATCTATTGCCAGTGAAAAGCATGATGTCTTATTTCCATGCAAGTTTTCGGTTGATTTCCTCCCATATCATAAAATTGATATGGTGGAAGAGTGGGCAGATAAATAAATGGTCCTGAAGTAGACGTATTTGCCAAAGCATTTCATTAAAGGACGTCTTTCTTTAAGTAAGTGTTACATTTAAGTAAGTGACGCTCCTGTGTTGTTAACCTATAAACCATGTGGACCTGTCTCCAGCTTGTATGTTGTCTTGTTTCTACAGAGTGTTATTGTAACCCTTTGGGCTCAATCCATGACCGTTGTAATGGCTCAGGATTTTGTGAGTGTAAGACTGGAACGACAGGGCCTAAGTGTGATGAGTGTCTGCCGGGAAATTCCTGGCACTACGGCTGTCAACGTAAGTAACTCTGGGAGCTGCCCTCTGCCTGCTGCAGCATGGCTGACTCTGCTTGTGTAGGCCGGTGCCGTGCGTGCAGCTTCTCAGAGCAGAAAAAGGCCCAAACCACTGACAAGCTCTAAAGGCTACTTAGTGCCCTAGCCTAAGTATCAGAAAGCAATCCATCAGCTGTCCAGCTGGCTTCTGTGAAGCTCATCTCAGCTCCACGTGACAGCTGGCAGAACTTATATTGAAATATTGTATGAAGATCCATGTACCTGGCCAGACCATAAATTAAGTGGCACCATAGGGACCCAGCTTGGAAATCCTCACCACAAAATGAAGGGTGATGTATATGTGGTTAATATATTTCTTGAACTGAAAGCTACCCTGGAGCTCTAGAGTTCATAAATTCCATGATATCTACATAACTTATTACCACATTTGCTATGGTACCATCTCTGAAACTTAACCAAAAAACTGAAGGTAATAAATCTAATGGATATCTGAATGCCAACTTAAAATAAATAACAAAAATCAATATTGATTTTAAGCCTTGCAGGGGAGGCACCGTGTAAAAACTCTTAGACAGCTGCCATTTGCTTCAGCTTCATTTCTCCAGAGATTATCAGGTCTTCTTAAAAAGCTTGTCAAGGGAGGTCGCATGTCCGTGTGTACACAGAACGGGAATTTTAAAATCCAAGCAGACACTCCCTCCTGTCCACTGTAACCTTTTCTGCTTTTTCAATTCTGCACTAACTTTCCATTCCATCTATACATAGGTAACTTACTAATAGTAAATAACCACAAGATATGTCCTCTGTATTACAGCATACGACTAGATAAATGTGCAAGCCACATGTGTCATTTTTGATGTATTGTTATCCAAGCTAAAAAAGTAAAAATAGGGGCTGGGGATTTAGGTCAGCGGCACAGTGCCTGCCTGGCAAGCGCAAGATTGTAAGTTCAATTCCTGGTACCGGAAAAATACCCCCCTCAAAAAAAAAAAAAAAAAAAAACAGTAAAAAGAAACCAGAAAAAATATACATTAACAACTTACCCTATTTAACCCCAAACACATAAAATGATAACTTCAATATAATTTATACCAAGGTTGTTAGAGATACACCCTCCACTTGTTTAATAGTCTTTGGAAGCAGATTTGTGTTTTATGTCTACAGAAGAGCTCTCGTTCTTCTCTCTTGCTTTCCCTGAGTTGAACCCACCCTGGCTTGGCCACATTAGTGGCACAGATATTAACCTGGCAGCAGAAACCAACACCAGGAAGACAAGCAGTGGTAGACTGGGGCTGAAACTGGCTTTGGCAGTGACGTGCTGGGAGTAAGCGAATACTTAGGTAAACACCGCTAAAGAGCAACCATAGTAGATTTCAGAAAGAGCCTGGACATTCCAGACCCAGGGCTGCAGTACCCTGAGAGCACTTGCAAAGAGCACTGTGAGGAACTGCAGTCCAAAACTGATCCAGTTACTAACACCACTGCTTCCATCCTAGGAGTGGAACAAAGTGAGTGTGCTGTTTAAATGGGTTCTGGGTTTGAATCTAGACCTGGGATCAAATCCTATCTCCATCCCTTAGTTCCTGTAAGACTTAGGGGAAGTTGCCTGGACTCTCTAAACCTACTTTTTCACGTAAAAACAAGGAAAATAAAATGAGCTAACACATATGATAATTGGGGAAATTGTTAGCAAAGACTGCACAAGAACACATATCAAGGGCTGGGGATATAGCTCAGAGGCACAAGGTCCTGAGTTCCATTCCAGTACCCCTCCCAAAAAAACCCGTATCAAAAACATTTATTTTATAATACTAGCACAGAATTGGCAGCAAGATAGGCCTTTATTGAAGTTATCAAACTGTAGGCCTACAGGATTCTAAAAAGCCCCTTGGTTAAAGACAGGACTGATATAGACAGACTGAGGCAAAAATGACCTGGAAACTCACTGTGTGGCTTCAGCTGTGGAAATTAAAGAACTCCGGGATCATCAGTGACCTTTCTTCCTGTAGGGCTACCAACCCCTAGCCTCACAAGTATAAACTAGTCTTTCTGAACAAACAAGTGATGCACTTGAAAACCATCAGGATGAATGGTCTATAGCTAGTACAGAGCAAATAACCCATGAAAGAAAACAGAAATAAAAAAGGCTTCGAAGAGGCCTGGCAGAATCAAAATTAGTGCTGAGGTTCTCCAGAGGAGAATGAGACATTAAGTAAGAGGATTTTTTAAAACATCTCTTTAGAAGTCAGAAAAAAGGCAATAGCAGAGTCCTAGAGAATAAAGCTGAATTTTCTGAAGAGAAGCAGCACTAAATAGATCGTATAAAACATGAAGGGTTAACCCTTGCTGCTAGTACCAAAGAGACTGTGCATAGTCTTTTGGATTTGGGGGTTCATAGGTCAGAAACTGCCACATGTAGAGCGGATGAGGCTGATGAGCAGATATTTTGTGTTCCTAGAGGATATGCACAAGACATGTTGCAAAGTCCTGTGTTGTTTGTTGTAGCCACTAACAGCTCCTCTTTTTAACCAAACTTATGTCGATGTTAATGGCGTTTTCAGAACAACTCATAGTCTGCATATTTGCATCAACTTTTAAAAATCAGTGGTGTACTAAATGCGATATGGGGAAAGAGCTATAGGATATCAAGAACTAAGTGCACAAATCTCAAAGGAGACTGAGATTTGGTTGCTTGGTCATGTCCTCTCACTTCATAATATGGGTTCGTAAGAGGGATCAAACGTAGAGTATCAGGAACAGGGAAACATGTATAAAAGGAGGTTCAACGGCCTAATCAATAGGACTTTTAATCTGTAATTAAAAGAAGTATCTGGGAAATACCCTGATACAACTGCCAAGCCAGATATTGTGGCATCCTACAGAATAAACACACACACACACACACGTGTGTATATGCACAAACGCACTCACAATAAAAAAACTAGTCTTTTTCAGATGTTAGATAAGACAAAGTCTGGAGAATAAAACTTCGTGGCTTAGATATACTACTTTGCTAAAAATATACAATAACTATATTAAATTTCTACTGCTCCTATAACAAGTTACCAAAAATGCATTGGCTTTCAACACCGTGCATTTCAGTGCTTAGGGGTCAATAAGCATCATAATGGAAGACCCTTCTGCTGGCTAGAGAGGAGCATCTGTCTTCTGGCCTTCGCTTATGTCTAGAGGTCTCCTTGCATTCCTTCACTTGCACCCTCCTCCCCCATCTTCAAAGCCAGTAACTTTCCAGTTCTTTGTGCCTTTTCTCCACCACCATGTCACAGCTTTCTCTGACTCCCACTAAGAAAGAGTCTCTATTTTTCTGTGGGATTCTGGGATTGAACCCAGGGTAGCACACATGCTAGGCAAATGTCCTGTTGAGCTACATCTCGGCATCTCCAATTCTAAATCCTACACAGATAGGCTAGGGTAATCTGTGCATCTCAAGGTCTTTAAGTGAGTCACATGGCTAAAAATCTCTTTGCCTCCTAGGTAACAGGTTCTAGGGAGAAGGCTGTCACACCTGTGAAGAACCCTTTTATACCATGTGCTCCAATAATCATCTAAAGCATCAGCCTTTAACGGCAGGGATAAATATGAGGGTGTCACGGAGATGGAATGCAATTTATCCCTGGAATAAAGATATGCAAGGGTGAAATGTACTCTGAGGAAATATGTAATAGCATTAAAACAGAGAGACATAAGTCAAAAAGTAGACTTGTAGTATCAACTAGAAGGTAAGACAGTGAAGTATTTTTCAGACAAGCTGAACACCATGTAGAAAAGGCATTGTGAGAGTTTAAGGATTTGGAGGACATATTATCCAATGGGAAATTATTTAAATGTTCTGTAATCTTCCAAAATGAGGGAATCAAACTATCAAGATACTTGCTAAGAGAGATGTCCTGCTAAAATTGTTTGGTGAGAATTTCTTCACAATGGAGTAGTCCATTGACCTAGGAGAGCCACTCAGGGACAGTGTAGATGCCGTTATCATAAAAGAAGTAAATGCTACCAAAATCTTAAGATATATTGTCCCAGACCTGAAGAAAAAGTTTAAATATTTATGACCAAAAGGTATAATCTCAGATTGTCCTTTAAGGTCTGCATGTGTATGCAGACACACACATGCATGTGCGTGCATGCACACACACACAATAAAAGGACAAATTCTCCCAATAGACTACCAAGAACATGTAAAACATCAAAATTAACAAATTTAACAATCCAACAGCCAAATTTCTGAGGTTTTAATAAGCATTAATTTAATCCCTACTATGGGCTGGTCACTGCTGCAAATTCTCCTAAATATAAATTGCAAAAATACAGATGGTAGAGAGCTACATGAACAGAGATTCAAGTGACAAAGATGTGGAACTGCTAGACAACACCCAAATTTAATTCTAGATGTCAGTACGATATGAGTGGCAAAGAAGCCAGGATAATTTCAGACCGAACAAAGAACAAAGGAATTTATAATCCCACTGAAGCATGCCCTGAGCAGCCCATATCAAGCCTTGCCCTTGGAAACCTGTTAAATGCAGAGGACAGTGATGCAGGTATTCTCAGGTGAAAGAGTTGGAGGTGGTTGGTAAACACATAGTTGGGCATCTTCCAGATGTCAGACAGTATTTGGAGGGCCATGGTGTATCAAGTAGATCGGTTGGTTCAGGAAGATAGATAGATAGAGGGTCATCCCTAAAAGAACTCTTTCCTCTAGCGGTTGGAGAGTACAGTGTGGGGTGAACTGGGTAGTGATAAGTTCCCCACGTTTGGAAAAGTTCAGACAGAGGCTGAATAGGCCCCTGTTGATGATGCTTCTGAAGAATTTGGGCATAAATGGAAAGTTGCGTGAAAAGCCCTCTGGGATGCCTTCAACCTTCCAAGTCTGACTTTAACACATGCCCGCAGAGCTAAGGAAAGGCACCATGGAAACGCCTAACTCAGTTTTTGTTTTGTCCCCACAGTTTAGAATTTTTAGAAAAATCTTCTGTTCTCTAA